GCTGTACTAAGTTCCAACCGAGTACCTAAAGCTTTATGTAAACTTTGCCAAAAATTGAATGTGAAACGAGGATCTCTATCTGAGGCAATTGAAATTGGCACCCCATGAAGTCTCACTATTCCCTCTAGATACAGCTGTGCCCACCTTTCTACAGAGTAAGTAAGCTTTCCAGGAAGGAAATGCGCTGATTTGGTGAGTCAGTCAACAATGACCCATATTACGGTATAACCTTTAGTTGTCCTAGGCAATCCTGTAATGAAATCCATGATATGTGTTCCCATTTCCACTCAGAGACACTCAACGGTTGCAACAAACCTATCGGTTTCTGTCTTAGCGCCTTCACCTGCTGACAAGCTAGACATTTACTCACAAAGTCTGCTATATCTTTCTTCATGTTATGCCACCAATAGTACTGTTTTAAGTCTTGATACATCTTTGTACTGCCAGGATGTATCGAGAATGGGGAACTGTGAGCTTTAGTCAGTAACTTATTCTTGAGGTCGACATCTTTAGGCACACATAGGCACCCTTCATGCATTTTCCCTAACTCTACTTTCTAAGCGTTAATAATTTTTTGTCTTAAGGTTGGCTTAACTGACAACTGAGCCAACTGTGCAGTAACCTCACCCACTGCAACCACTATCTCCGCACGTTTCAAATCATGGAATATGTGGGTCTGGGTGGTGATCAAGGTTGATGTGTGGGCTGTCTTCCTACTTATATAATTTTGAGCATGTTCTCAAAAAAGAATAGAAAGAAGAAACATAGTTAGGTGCAAAATGCTTAGATTTCTTAAAAAAATTGAAAACGAGAAACAAGAAACGAAAACGTTATCAAACGGGCCCTAAACTACTCAAAGATGTTAGTTTAATCCCTTAATCAACCTCCATGTTGAAATTGAAAGTTTATTTGAATGGACTTATTGAGCTACTTACAAGATGAGTTGAATTTTTGCACATTATTGATACAATTGATTCTATACATTAATATATTAACACATTTGTTTAAACAAAACCAAAAAAAAAATTTACACCGTTCATTTTGAAAACTTTGAAAACGTCCTTGAGAGATGAGCTTAAAAAAAAGACTAATTATGGATTCTACAATTTTATTTTAAAAACTTCTTACCAGCTAAATTTTTAACAAATTTCGTGTTTTTTTAAAAACCAATTATTATTTTTAGATTTTTATACCAAACTCCACCTCAGCTTCAATTCTGAACCAAAAACTTCTTACCAACTAAATTTTTAACAAATTTCGTGTTTTTTTAAAAACCAATTATTATTTTTAGATTTTTATACCAAAGTCTACCTTTGTTTGAATTCTGAACCAAAGACTATATAAAGGAGCAATGCAAAGAAGATTAGGAGCACAAATAAAAAAATGGAGTCAATTAATTCTAAAGTGTTTTTTGGATCATGTACTCTTATACTCATGGGATTTCATCTTATCGTCTGCCAGACAGATGCTAAAAAAGTTGTTGCTAACAAAGATTTAGAGTACTCCATTCAAGAAAAGGAACCAATGGTTAACAAGGAAATGTACTTAAAACGAGTACCAATTATGCATCCAACTATGTTGAGTGAGAGAACATCAGATTCATCACCTCCTCCATCGCGTGCTCCATCTACCATTTCAAAGAAGGAATTGTGGCCCTATTTTGTAATGCATCCAAAGGGCAATCTAATTCCTCCTTCTGGGCCAAGTCAAAGGTTCTCGGACTCATCACCTCTTCCACCGACGAATGGATTATGGCCATTTTTTGTAATACATCCAAAAGGTAACCTAATTCCTCCTTCTGGGCCGAGTCAAAGGTTCTCAGACTCATCACCTCCTCCACCAACTAGAGGATTTTGGCCATATTTTGTAATGCATCCAAAAGTTAACTCAATTCCTCATTCTGGTTGAGTCAAAAG